AAAGAAGTTACAGAATATTAGCAGAAAACAGCACCCTATATTTTCATGGTTCCCTTACCCTTCTGATTTTTAAGGAGGTACTGGAATCCATTTGGAATTTAAATTAAACTAAAATATCCTGGAAACCTTGAAAATTACCTTTTTGTCATATGATGTCCTGGAATTTTATAATAAAATGTTAAACTAAACATTTGTTTGTAGAAAATGTTATTTTTCTACTGCAACTTTTCAGCGGACAATTTTGCAATTATCATTTCATCTCTAGCTTTGATTAATTCTGGTGACTAAGAGGTTTGTGCATACATGCAATGTTATGTCATTATTGAAAGTGGGAAACAAAAAAAATGAAATTTGTCGTTTTCACCCTAAAATCTGGAAAACTCTTAGGAAAAAAAATCATCTTGGTGCAGGAACCCTGTACTTTGCTACATTACAGTGAGACATCTGCTATAGACCTGCCAACTCTTGGATTGTGCTGTAAGTCTTACGAAAATCACCCTTAAAATACAGACATATGGCATAAAAGCAAAAACTATGGAAAAATGATCATTGCTGAAAAATCTACAAAATTTGTTCATATATGTTTGATTAGGATCTTGGTTTCATATTACAATTAGTGAAATTCGTCAGGGAACCAGACTAACTTTACAGCAGCACCTCAGACACTTTCAGCTGTCATTATTTGTTCATGCGAAGCATCTGCATGATCCATCTGTTGATTTTAGAATTTGTTTTAAATTGGTGTCCAGCAAGCGATTCATGTTTAAGACGAAAGTGAAAAAAAGCCTCTTAAAAAGTGTTAATAATCAACACTGAAGAATAAAACGGAATATTCAGATTCTCATGAATAAAAGATGTAACGGACACAATTACGTTTTTTGGACATCACATGCCAATTTGAGTATGACTCACGGTGGGCGATATGATTTTGTCATGTGCAGTGGAACTGCATAAGGGTTGGAACTTGAGTTTGTGCAAATGTACTAGTGGTAAATAACGTTTATGCATACTTTACAATATCTTCTGTTGAACATAATGTTTTTTTTCGCTGCATGTTTTGAATACCGAACTTTTAATTAAGTTTTATAGTATCAGTTTATGATATTTTTTTTTACACCTTACTGAAAACTGGTCAAATTTTTGGAAAAATCAACTGCCTTACTGAGACGGACTCATCAGGGTTGGCAGATATGCAGCTTTACTTATAGTTACATTATAGTGAGATGTTTGCTATGCAGTTTTACTTGCTGTTACTTTATCGTGAGATGTCTGCCGTGCAGCTCTGCTCAGTGTTACATTTAGTATCATAAGATGTTTGCTCTGCAGCTTTCCTTAGTTTTTATGTTTAAGTAAAACATTTGCTATGCAGTTTTGCTCAGCATAATGTTATAGTAAGATGTTTGTATTGTAGCTTTATTTATTAGCATTATTTTTTCAGCAAGATGTTTGCCATGGAGCTTGCTTAGTGTTATGTTATAGTAATATATTTGCCATGGAGCTTGCTTAGTGTTATGTTACAGTAATATATGCCATGGTACTTGCTTAGTGTTGTGTTACAGTAATATATGCCATGGAGCTTGCTTAGTGTTGTTACACTAATATGTTTGTCATGGAGCTTGCTTAGTGTTGTGTTACAATAATATATGTCATGGAGCTTGCTTAGTGTTATGTTACAGTAATATGTTTGCCATAGAGTTTTGCTTGCTGTTATGTTATAGTAAGATATAAAATTGTTATGACATCAGGGCTCCAGTGAAATTGTAAATGTCATGTGATAATAATGTTTATTACTTCATACATTTCTTTTGAAAATGAGTTTTCTACAAAATATATGCAAGACATACCAAGATTGGGATTGATGATATAGTAGAAATATTACATCAGAGTATGTCACCACATTACCTTTCAATGTGTGATACAGTGTGTGAGTGGTCTAAAGCACTCTCTGTTACAAATCACTGCCATCTCACCTCTGTCTGCGTGAGTTCGAGTCTAGGATTCAGCGAATGTGAATATGTGAGAAAGCTTGCCAGTAGCTTCTTGTGGGTCAGTGGTTCTTTCCCGTGATTTCCCAGTTTCTTCCTCCACCATTATATACTGGCCACCATGAATAGCCTATCGTGTGCTGAAAAATGGCATTAAGCCCAACAACAACAACAGTAAATACATCATTTGTGGATCCACCAAGTTAGTAATTATTGTTTTCATCAAAGGAATGTCTTTTTCCAGTCACACTGCAGTTAACTTTTAAAATAAGTGTGATTAACTTGCATACAGTGAAATTATACTTTGACTTCTCAAAGGCCAGTGAAGTATGTTAATTAAAAAAAATTAATTTGAAAGAAGAAGAAATTAAAGGGTTGTGATGACATTTAATTATTTCACTAGATCCTGAAATTTGTTAAATCTGAGCTGACTGTAAGTGGGACCCACTGCATATAGAAATACAATCTCTATTATGTGTACCATTCTTGTGTGTTTTTGAGATTGTGTGAGCAAGCTTCAGCTGTGAGTGTTTTGTCATGTACCATTTATACTTGTGATTTAGAAGCAAGAAATACTGTATTGTGCCTTACAAAGTAATTGGTGCAAATATTTATCACATTAATGAGAATTCTGTTATTGACATTGAGTGTACAAATTTCTCTCTCTCTCTCTGTAAGTAAGGCTATCTTTTCTTAAATTGATTTTGATGACACATGAAAAAAGCAATCGGAAAACATTAGTTTTTCTCACTGCCATTGCTGTGGGAAAGGAGTTTAACATGAATATATTGCATCTTCATAATTGTTTTTCTGCTGTAGGAACATATATATAATTGCTAATCATTATCTGGAAATCCACTTTTTTCTAATATATATATATATATATATATATATATATATATATATATATATATATATATATATATATATGAACACCAGGTATTCTATTCCTTAAGACTTCTTCCCAAGCCTTTCAGTGTAAATATTACATAGAGTGCAATTCCAATGTTTGACGGGTTTCTTTGTGGAGTCTGGCAAATACATTTACATATTTCAGAAACTACTTGCCTGGTCAGAATTTTTTGTTTGTTTTGGTCAGCATAAAAATGTTGCACATGAAAAACAATAGTTAGAAAAAGTGCTTAGATGTTTAGCATTATGGTGAAATTGGTACCTCTTGGTATAACTCGTCAGCTTTGAAGGAGATACTTATGTTGTGGCAACCATATTGAATATTCTACTGGACATCTTAAAAATCTTATCATTGCTACTCCTGAATGGATGGTCATGTCAGCATTGATTTTTCACTAAAAGGCTTCTTGTCATTTCTAGTTGGCTGTGTTAAAAAAAAAAGTTATTGATCTGGTATCTAATATGGTTGCCATGACTGCTGTCTTGAAAATCTTGTTGCTCCTCCCAAATGGTAAGTCTTATTGACATGGAGTTTTTACCACAAGCCTTATGATGTCTAGGTGCCCTAAATGAAAATGGTGTCCGTTTGACCTCAAATATGGCTATCATGGCTGCCATCTTGAAAATCTTGTTGTTACTATTCCCACTATAGGCATGGTTATATTGAGATGGAGTTTTCACCAAATGACTTATAATATTTATTTGGTCCTAAATGAAAATTGTGCTTATGTACATCTACAATGGCCATCATGATGGCTATTTGGAAAATCTTGTATACTTCTGTAGAATGGATGGTCATATCAACATGGGGTTTTCATCACAGTTTATTGTCTGTTTGGTACTAAATAAATATCAGACCTTAATAAGGTTATCTACATTAGGACAGATGGAAAGAAGAAGGAAAAATGGCATTAACTGGATTATTATTTTTGTTAACCTGTTACGGTTTATTATGATCTAAACTGAACTATTATTGAAGTTTAATGTCATGATGCGTAGTCTGTATTAATGGGGGGAGGGATAATAGTAAGACAGGAAGGAAGCTACATCTGAGGACAGAGTATTGATTGTAATTTCTTCATAAAAAATGTTTACAAATGCATGCACATGAAAAGAGGCATTATTTTAGGTTAATTTGTAATTTAGTATGTGACATTTCTGTATTAGACATTTTTTTAAAACCATCTTCCCTCAAGCATTAAAGTGTATATATATATATCTATAGTATATTTTTTGTCAACACATGCAAAGAAAACTTACTGTTACTATATTAAATGGGCAGTTAATATTTCTCGCCTCTTAATTCATAATGTAGGTTATGTTGCACTGTTATGGTTTAGGGCATTTTTTTATGCCAAAGTTCTTTTATGCAGCATTGGAAAATCTGTACAGTGAATATACATTAAATAGGGTTTCTGTTTTTGTAAGTAAAGTTGATATTTTAACTTATGACTTTGTTATGTTGCTTGTTTGAAAATCATTGTATATCGACATTTATTGACATTTTTTTGACAACCATACGTCGAGTAGGAGAATGAAAACAATAAACCCATACAAGATCTTGAGATTTCTTCATATGTTTTACACCATCACCACCACTTCCACCACCATCAAACTAATCCCTTGCTAGTATTACAATGGTAATTTGAGAAAAATGCAGAGAACACTAGTTACTGAATATATTAGCAATAAATGCTAAGATTCTTAAAATGAACCTATATAAAAAGTAATATATTCCTACCTTGTTATTTATTTTCAATTGGTGATGCAACGTTTGATTAATCATTTTGGGGGAAAAGCAGTTTTAAACAAATTCATTTAATTAATTAGCAAAAATGTAACAAAAGCCTACTTGAATTATTTCAAAAGCTGGAATATATGCATCTACCAAAAACATATGACACAGAGACTTTTATATTTTCTTGCATTCTAAGGCCATGTAGACAAGAACAAGGAAGTAGTTAAACAAAATTCTAAATAATCCATTCCACAAAGCCTACCAAATACTTTCAGTCTAGTCCTGTAACATACACATATTTGCCTACATTTATGTTTTTGGCTTATTCATTACAATTTAATATTAGTAATTAATTCCCTGTTAACCGCTCTGGTGACCTAGTGGTTAGTGTGACCGCCTCGTACGCGTGAGGTCGTGGGTTCGATACCTGGTCGAGTCATACCAAAGACTTGCAACAATGGTACTGAAAGCTGCCTCGTTTGATGCTCAGCATTAAGAGGTCGCCCTGGTGTCAGGATAATGTGACATGATGGGACATAGTGGTAGTGCTTACATGTCTACGGGATGATATCCTATTGCTTGACATCACTAAACTGCCACACGGCAGACACCGTAGCGATAGGAGTGAAAAATTGTTAAAGCTACGTTAAAAATAATAAATCACATTCCCTGTCACTGCCATATTTCATTGCCTACCTTTCCAGGACAGAAATGGCTTTTGGTGGTATAAAAAATTCCATCCTTCCATGTACGATACAGAAAGGCCAGAACTAGAAATAACATGGACCCAGAGCATAGGTCAATGCACAGTAACCATCTTTTTCTATAAACGTTTTTAATAGGTTAAATTTATCATACTATGAAGTTTCTGTATAGCACAAGTGTTCACACCCTCAATCTTATATATACTGAGTTGTAGTTCAAATCCTCGTGTGTATTGGGCATCTGTTGTTCAGTTTCGTCAGCAGTGCTCTTCATGTACACTTTCTCGTTGTTAATAGGTTGATCCGTAATTGTTCTCAATTTTATCCTTATCAAAATTACATTTTTTTTTTGGTTTCTTTCAACAGGGTTCTCGTGCCCAACCGATTTTTAAGGAAGACCTGGAGTCCAACTGGAATTTGAATTTAATGACAATATTCTGGTATTTTATATTTAAAACTTGAACAAAAACTTTTATATGATTATATATATATATATATATATATATATATCTATATATATATATATATATATATATATATATATATATATATATATATATTCTTAACAGTGAATGTTTTTTGCAACAGCCATCATATTACGTGGGTAGCTACAGTTGACTCTTGTAACTAAGAGATTTTGGCATATGTGCTGTATTTGTGTCTTTGATCAAATGGTTCCTTAAATTTTTCATTTTTTCCTTAAAATCTCCTGGAAAATAAAAACCATTTTGGTTCAGTAACTCTGTTTCAGACTCTTGCGTAGGTAAAGTCTCTCCTTTCATTGATAGATTCACTTGTGACCACCATTTTAGTCTAAATGTAAAATGAGAACTTCATGGCATGACGTCTCTTTGACAAAATGTTTAGTGATTATTTTTAGATTTGCTTACCAATATTCCGCTAGTGTGTTCCAATCCATATCGTTCATACTGCTTCGGTCTTTAGCTCCACGCATACCATCGTCTAGTTGGTCATAAATGAAAATGGTGTTGCTTAGACATCCAGTATGACCGCCACGGAAAGCATCTTGGCAATTAATTTTTAAAATGCTGCTCCTTCTAAATAGTAAGTTGTCAGGAACAAAAATAAAAAAATGGCATTTTCACCAGAACACTTTCTACGAGGTTGGTCCTAAACGAAAATGGTGCTGATCAGATGTCCTGATATTCAGTTCTTTGAATAATAGTGGCAGATAATGAACAGGCCATTTCGACCTTTCTTTGAATAATGCAATGGCAGATAAGATAAAGGTCAAATCGACATATTTCAAGGTGCGGCCACGACTTTGCTTACCTGCTTATTGTTACATAATGGGGCGTGGTTATAAAAATCGCTTAATTCGCCAGCGCCCTTGAGGAAACTGCAAATTCCGGATTTAAATAAACAGCGTGAAGACTTGAAATATTGATCTTTATTACCACCATTACTTTATGGTACATCGCCGTTTCATCACGACTCGGATACAGATACTTTTTTAAGTAGCAGTAATCACACACAAACACACACACACGCGCGCGCGCGCACGCACTCCCAAACCGAGAGAGAGAGAGAGAGAGAGAGAGAGAGAGAGAGAGAGAGAGAGAGAGAGAGAGAGAGAGAGAGAGAGAGAGATGTATCTGGGTCGAAGTTCTTGTTTGTAATGTAATATATGTTGCAGTGGTACATTTCATGGTGGAAGATTGATTATTGACGTTACATGACATTTCCTTTGTTGTGACATGTTGACAAATTTTATTTCTCGAATCATTATCCGTTATAAGTCAAATAGTCTAAGGTTTAGTTGAAATTTGCATTGATGTATTTTCAAATTATACAAAATGACTTTGACAGATTGTATAATGCGTGTCATGGATACCAATGTGTGTTAAACAATGAAGAAATATATATTAAATTGAAACTTCGAAGATGAAAATGGCGACTAGTTAAAAAGGGGAATACACAAAATGAGTTCAGTGTCAGTTAAATATTTTACTGATGTGAATAAGAACAGCAATAATTATACATAATAATTTGATATATAATTTTAAAGTTTTTCAAAATCAGAACACTTAATGAAACATATTTTCATTTTATTTATTAGAATATTGATATTGACATTATCTTGCGAAGATAATAATAATAATAATAATAATAATAATAATAATAATAATAATAATTTGTATTATTATAATTAAAGCACAATCTATTCAATTATTTTGGGAACTTAAATATCAGAAACGTTTTTTTAAAAACTTTATGTAAAGCATATTTAATTCCAGTAAGACATGTTCGTGTTGACAAGAAATTCGTAGTTGTCGTATACGTACCGTTACTAGAACAGTAACGTTATATTCGTGGATGGGGCGTTTTAAAATATACTACAAATTCTGAGGGAGCGCCAAGTGTAAGGTGATGTTTGCATTTGCAACATGCACAGTGGATAGACTGTTGGCATACCTCAATGTTACATTCATGTACGGTGTCTGAAATTTCTTCAGATACTGTATATGATCTAAGCAAACAGCTAACATAAACGGCTTTTCGTGTGTGCTTTAAAAACCGCTTGAATTTGTCAGAAGTACACCATCTTGAGCGGTAGCCAAAATAGAGAAAACGAATTTTGACAGACTGGAAACAAATTCCTCTCCCTACGTAAAAAGATGTTATCGGCCCATTTTTTAAAACGATTTATTTTACCTATAAAAAAGCAAAACTGATCAAGCTGAACTAAGGTTTTTGTTGGGTGCACATCTAAAGGGCATAGTAACCCAGATTAAACTCATTAATCATGCAGCAAAATAAAGGAATTTAATTTTTTTTTATTCAGTACCCATTTATATGTTAGGTCAATTTGAATGTCCAGGGAATTCATTTTACTTTAAAAATCAAATTATATGAAAAAATACGAAGCTGTAGCAACTTTATCTTTGACCAGAAGTGACTTGAATGATTGTAGGCTAATACGTAGAGGACAGCATGCTGAAACGGAATAATAATTACGTAATTTAAATCATAATCAGGGAATATTGTGGTTTTAAAAGTTGAAAATTTAAATTGTGACAATTTTCGCACCTGACGGCATACTGTTTTATATTGTTTTTGCCGATAAACGAAACCTTTTGTTAACCTAAAATACAATTATACATACATTAGAGATAACACGAAAGGCGGGGTCAATTTTAAAAGAGGATAATTTTTATTTGCTTATGGAAAATTATGTTCCGCATTTATATATACAACAGGGTGATCAGGGATGGGATTGGGTGTTAGAGAAGGTATTGAGAGCAACTGTCATAAATTAGATGTTTATTTATAATGTAATTGAATGATGAATGAATTTGATCCCAAACTTGTGCGCATAAAATCCCAAAATGAGTTTAACAATAAAACTGGAACTAATCAGATCATGCAACTTAAATGATTAAACAAACATAAATCAACGTATATGGACATATAAACAAATATGATTAATATATGGTTATGGCAACATAGATGATTATTGTATACAATTCAAAAATCTAAAATGAACAATATTTAACTTATCATTGAAGCTTAGAATCTACATAACTGTGAACAGTCTCTCTCTCTCTCTCTCTCTCTCTCTCTCTCTCTCTCTCTCTCTCTCTCTCTCTCTCTCTCTCTCTCTCTCTCTCTCTCTCTCTCTCTCTCTCTCTCTCTCTCTCTCTCTCTCTCTCTCTCTCTCTCTCTCTCTCTCTCTCTCTCGTCGGCCTGTTGTCAGGATAATGTGACTAAGTGGGACATCATGCTACATATCTGCGGCATGATGACCCAGTACTAGACATCACTATAACTTGCCACACGGCAGACATCGTAGCGATATGACTGAAAAATTGTTAAAGCTACGTTAAAAATTATAATCACATCATATCACTTTGTCTGCCAATTCCAATAACGTCAAGATATCCATGATGGTCTTGTTTGCCGATCAGATTCATTAAACAAAATATCAATCAACAGTCAAACATTAATGTTTTAAGAGTAAAAGATATTGTGGAAATATAGTATGTCAGAACACAGCAGTCATGGTTCAGTTTCTACATTGAGATCTTAGTAAGGCATTAAACAAGGTATGGAAATACAGACCGTGTCTCAAACTTGAAAATATGCAATATTCCAGATACACATAATAACTGTATTTTAAACTATACAGAGAACAGATAGCAAATAATTCGATGGTACGGTTATAAATTAACCCGGAGAATAAGCTAAGCAAGAGTTGCACAGAGATCTGTCCTTAGTCCACAACTATTTCTTTTCTACATATATGACATAACTGAACATATTTTAGGGCTGAAATTAACTCTAGGAAAAGCTTTTAAGTTGGTCTTTACTTTAGAAGTATTCATTTCGTTTACTGAATGTATAATGAAATAAGTTAGAAGATACAATTGAAAATAAAATTGGTAACTCCCAACTATACTTTGTATTAAAATGCGACTGTGATGATGATATGATAACATCCACAATAAGCCTCTTAAATGCAGTTCTAAAACGATTTGACATTACAAATTTAGTAAATGAACCTGCAGAAATTACTGCCAAGTCAAGAATTTGCATTTATCTGTTATTAATGAATGCTGTTCGTGTCAAACCACCCTTCCATAGCGACTCGGCCAAGTCATACCAAAGACTTTAAAAATGGTACTAACAGCTGCCTCGCTTGGCGCTTAGCATTAAGAAGTTAGTTAGAACCAGTCGGCCTGGTGTCAGGATAATGTGAATGGTGGGACATCAT